CCCATGGAGCAGAACTTGCTTCATTGAGGTTCTGGTGTCCTCTGCATCCACCCTTTGAATGTATTGTTCATGGAGATGGTTGGGTGGTGGGTGCTCCAGCATGGTCTAAAGCTGGCCACTTGGTGTGCTGCCTCTGGGGCCTCTCTGGAGGTGCAGGCCAAGGTCACTGGCCATTTGTGCCCTCCCTGGCTGCTACTTGTGCTAGGCGTGGAGGTGCCTGGGAGAGGTTAAGCTGAAAATTGAGTCCAGCTGCTGCTAGTGCTGTGCCTGGGGCCTCCTAGCAAAGGGTATGTGGCATGCCAAGGCCAGATGTTGTTTATTAGGGGTTGTGAACCTTTGAAAGATTTAGGAAAATCTGTAGCATGAACCAAGACAGCCCATTTGTATGGAAAAGGCAAAGGGAAAAGCCACTGGAAGTGGCTTGGGTGGGTGGTATTTGGTTTTTCTTTCTTTTTTTTAAATTGGAATCTCTTTAAATTTCTAGGAATATAATCATATATTTGTTTTGTCTTCCTGATGTTTAGATGATTAATTTTATCTAATTGCTTTCTCTAGACCCTCTAAGACAATATTAAATGTTAACAGTACTAGCAGCACCCCTACAAGTTCCCTATTTTAATTGAAACAAGTTTTGTGTTTAACCATTTAGAATAATTGCTGTTGGGTTCGGTAGTCTTTATTATATTGCATGTAATTGTTTTCTCTTTCAACTTTCCATGGTTTTATTAGGAATAGCTTCTGTCTTTTCAAATACTTTGCGAGCATTTACTGTTATGATCATGGGTAGATTTTCCCTCCTTTAGTTTGCTAATATAAGATTATATTGATACAGTTCCTGGTATTGAAATATCTTGCATTTTTGGAATAAATCCTGCTTGGTCATATTATTGTATACTCTTAATACCTTGCTGGATTATCTTTCTTAAAATTATATTCAGAATTTTTGCATCTGAGCTCATATACATTTATAGATATATCTTGTCTTCTGTATTGAGTTTTTTTCATCAAGGCTATGTTAGTTTTACAAAACAGAGTGTTTCCATATTGTTCTACCTTCTGGAATAGTTTAAATAGCATTGGAATGAACAGTTGGATAAAACTCATTTGTAAAATATTTTACCAAGTCTATTTTTTGATATTAGATCTTTAATTATCCTTTTAATAACTTTTGTGGTCGTAAGTTCATTCTGATTTCTATTTCTTACCAGTTTTGGTAATTTACATTTGCTAGAAATCTTGATTCCTCTAAATTTTTAATTTGTTGCCATTGAGTATTAATTCTTTTCTCTCTGTGGCTATGTCTCCTTTCCTGTTCCTTATATTTTTTGCTCTTTCCCCGCCTAATTGGGGTGATTTGTCTATTTTTTTTTTTTTTTAGTCTTTGTAAAAAAACAAAACAAAACCCAGCTTCTATCAATTTATTATTTCTAGTTTAGGTGCTGTTTTTTACCTTGAGATGGATAGTAAATTATTTTGCTGAAAAAAATTTTCCTATTTAAGGCATTTAAAGCTATGCATTTTCCTCTGAGTCTAGTTTTTTTCTATATGTTACAGGTTCAGATATAATACGTGCTTTTTGTTACTTTCTAGACAGTTTATATTCCTGAAACTTTCCCCTTTGATCCAAGGACACACAGAATTGTATTTCTTAATTTCTGTGCAATTGTAATGGTTATAGCCACATTTTGTTTCTAATTTTATTATAATGGAATGTAGACTACAAAATTGCTACTTGTTTGAATCCATGAATATTATTACTATTATTCAATACTTAATCATTAATAATTAATATTTACTTATTTTTTCCAAGTACTGGATTAAGTTTTGTATATGTTCATGGATATACAAGAAAAAAATATACATTATCTATTTAAAGATTCTATGTGTAGTCTGATGATCACTTATTAATTGCATTATTCAATTCCTGCCTTTATTTTGGTCTATTAAACATATCTAGTTCCAAGAGAAGTGTATTAAAATCTATAATTGTATTTTAATTGTTTTCAAGTTCTCTTTGACATTCTAATAGCTTTTGATTTAAATGTTTCGTTCTGTTAATTGAGGTATAGGGTTTATCCTCTCTATATCCTCCTAATACATTGTCTACTGTCATTATAGAATATCCTGTTGAGTGCTTTCAATGTTAAATTTCACCCCATCTGATATTGACATTTCAATCATTTCTCTTTGCCACCTCTTTGTTTGCAGCCTGATCATGTAAGTGTGCTTCTGTAACACATAATTGGGATGTTTTTCTCAAACTCCTGTTTTATAATGGTAGAAAATGCAATCCACTCATATTTAGATAATGGTGGACCCCCTTGATAGCATTCCTTCACTCCTACTTTGCTTAGTATGCGTCTGTTCATCTTAATGTTGTTTCTTTTTTTTTCCTTTTACTAGTTTTTGCTGATTTTTCCACTTTTTCAATTTTTCCTTGAAAGTTTTTCTTTTCTAGATGGATTATTCTTTCTGCCTCTTTAGGCACATTTGTTAGCTCAGGGAGCACTGAGGTTACATCCCTTCACCCCTTCCCAACCAGGCACACTCACCACTGATGCTGATATTTGTCACCAGGCTGAACCCAGGGGCAGGCTTCCTGGAGTTGAGATCAGATGCTGCCACTGAGCAGCTGCACACAGGCTCATTACCTGCCCTCCTTGAACACTGAAATGGAGACCGTCACATGGCACGTGCAGGACTAGCCAGACCAAGCATGTGGCTTGTCTGGCACACCGCTGACTCCTGCTCCCCTCTCTCCTTGGGCTTCTGGAGTGGTTTTGAGCCCGTTTCCTCGGAGCTGAGCAATCAGGAGAGGAGGATGCAGACGACCTACTTCAAGTTTCTGACTCACACCCTCAGAATTCCTGGAAGAAATTTTTCAAATCAGCTCTTGGTCTTTCATTTCTGTGGGGCAGCAGGGATTGTACTCTTATCCTCAAAAAAGGTAATAAGATACTGTAGAGGCTGATGCTTTGCCTGTGAACACACAAGACATGGGCCTGGAACCCAATTCTCCTGTCTCCAACCTCAGGTAAGACACACCTTCCAACTTCTCTCGGCCCTTCGTGGCGCAGTTCTCATTCAGTAAAGACGGAATAAGCAGGGGACAGGAACTTGCAAGGGGGGCCCAAGAAGGCCATGCCCTGGGGACTAGAGCTCTACCCAAGGCCTTGAGGAAGCAGCGACATGGACACCCACAGGCCCACGCTTCACCCTTACAAACCTCTCTGGCTGGCTCAGCGCCAGGGCTTAAAAGCCAAGGAATCCCTCTGGTTCCGATAATGGCTTGACTGCTACCACCAGGTCTTGGGACTTGCCCTCAACAAACTGTCTCAATTCTTTTCTCTTCTCTCTCTTCTTTGATAGCCAGAAGGTGGAAGTATCATAGCTGATCTATTTCTACACCTTTAATTTTGCGATTCTACAAAATTCTTTCCGTTAGGCAAAACTTTAAACTGCTGGAGGGTAAAGGCCAGGCTTCCCGATACCCTTTCGGACCCCTACTCCAGGGTCGTGGAATTTGGCCAGAGGCCCCACCCACAGGCTGTGGGTAACCAGCGAAGGCCAGCGGCCCGAGAGCCACTTGGCTCCTTCGGCACCCTTGCGCCAGGGTCCTAGGACCTCCCGGCACCTTCGGTGTTGGTTCCGCCGTGCTCTCGTCCCTTCCTAAAAATAGCCCCACAAGCTCCCAGGAGACAGGGGAAGAACTTCTCTGCTGGATGCCCTGCCACCAACATTCTTGCTGCGGGGGAGGGAGGCAGGGGTGGCTGGTGACAGCCACCTCACACCAGACACCGCTCCCCCTGACTGCACGCGAAAGACCACCAAACAACTCTGTTCAAAACAGTTTATTTTATTTTATTTTTTTTTTTGTCAGACAAACACATTGATTTCTGGACCACAGTAGAGGATGGAAACCTTTCACAAACTTATTTATTTGAAAATACAAATATAAAATTATACTTTCCACATCTGTGATGTGAGAGACTGCCATCCACATAGTAATTTTTTACAACAGGGCTTTAAGAAAAGCCACACACAAAGACCTGAAAGATGCTTGAGATATATATATATATAGATACATATATATGTATATATATAAAAAAAATACTCACTACCAAAGTTGTCATCAGTTTCATACTAAAGTATAAAAGTAAGGGTGAGGTCAGCCACAGTGCTAGGGAAAGTTTATTTAGATACATTTATGTCCACATGAAACGCTTAGACTTGCATCCTATTACATATGGAATTCCGAGTTTACAACACACTATGAACGGCAGATTGGCTAGCCCACGCTACTCACGAGGACACCCACAGATTCCACACGGGATGTACAGTATGTACAGGTACAGTAGCAGAGCGCCCTCCAGGGAGGCTCCAGAACGGCTGTCTCTCGGTTCCCATCCCCCGCCCCCCTCGGGCCCCTGCCTCCCGGGAATGAAATCCTATCTGAGACGATACATTCTGATTAGTTTTGATAGCTGAGTGTTCCGATTAAGGTTGCTTCCCCAGAGGGGTGGGTTTTATTCAGATTTCTTTGTGTTTTAGTTCACTTACTTTTTTTTTTTTTTTGGTTAAAAAAGAAGAAAGAAAAGAAAGGAAAAGAAAACAAACATATTACAGTATTAAAGTATTGCTTAACGTACTGCATTTCCTTGTGTAGTGTCTGTGCCCAGGTCTGGGCTGAGCTGACTTCTGCTGCTTTTCTGCTTAGGGTGAGGGGGGAGCCTGCCAGTGTCTCTCCTCAGTGTGCTCGCCGGCATCGTCCCTCTGCTCCCCTCGCGTCTGCCTTCCGTGGGAGGTAGCCTGGCTGGCGAAGCACATTCAGAAAAAAATCCGGCCCCCCGCCCCCAGTCTCCCTCTGTCCCTGCATGCCACTCCCAACCAAGAAAGAGAGTATGAGTTAGTGTTTCTTTTGTAAACAATTTCATATGCAATATAATACAGAAAGCATGGCTGACCTTCAATAAAAAATGTAGTAAACTATATTGCTTTAGTTTGATGCTGCTGCAGTGAGTGGATGGCAGAATGAAGCAGTGTGGTGGTGGCTAAGTCCCTAGCCCTCGTTTGCACTAAAGATCAAAACAGGTTTTGTTTTTCTATTTGGAACCCAAACAAATCGTTTTTTTTTTTTTTTTCAAAATCCCCAAATGAAAAACAACTAAAAAAAAAAAAAAAAAGATAAGAAAGAAAGAAAAAACAAGACCCCCCCGCCCCCATAGAAACAAAACTGAAAACAAAAACTGAACACCTTTCAGGTCATTAGAACCAACAATTACCCAATGATTTTTACACTAGTCTAGCAAGATGTGGGTAACATTCACTGGCTGTGAATTGCTGTGCAGTGAAACATTAAATTGACAGCAAAAGAGCCATGCTACCTTAAAGTCCAAGCTACGAGTTCAAATTAAGATGAAGGTAATGAAGGATAGAAACGCAAAGGCCTGTCGGGGCTTTGTTTGAATCAAGCCAATGAGCGACTGGGACAGAGGGAGAGGCTGTTTGGTTTTCCCAGTGGGTGTGAGGAAGGCCACAAACTAGGTGTGCGCGAGAGCTCCTGGAGAGGGACCAAGGGCTGGTCATCCCCCTCCACGGCCACGTAGAACCGCGAATGGGGCCAGGAGCTAATGCCCCTCCCTCTCCTCTGCTTGGGAGGAGAGGAGTTTGGGGGTCCCAGGCAGATGGATCTGGAAGCCAGAAAGTCACCCGGTGGTTATTTTATGATTCCGGGGAAAAACCATCAGCCAAGAGGGTTTCTCCCCCAGGGAAGGCGAAAGGTGGTTCCCATGTTTGCCATTGAGCTTAATTGAAACAAAGACCAGGCTGAACATCAGTGCGAACATAATTTACAAAAATCTTTCAAAATGGACTTCTAGATGAGTGGGGGGACTAACGTGAACCTTAACCTAGGTAGCCACATTAAAACATATCAGATTTCCACGAGATTTGTGCTATGGGCTACTGGGTCTCTTCAAAAGGTATTATAAACATCTAAAACATATTCACACAGATTATCAATTTCTTCTGAGCATTCTTAAAAAAATATTTTTTTTCTCTTAGTAAAATCATTTTAATATACCATGCCTCCCTCTTTTAAAAAATAAATAAAAAAATCCAGTTTTGCATATCTAGCATTAGCATTTAAGGTAGTATGGCACACCCCTTCACAGCTGGGGGGTGGGGATCTACAGAGCGCCGCGGAGTCTGCCGGCCTTTGAACGTGAGACCTTGGGTTAGTTGAAACCACATCGGATCAGCAAAAAAATAAAATAAAATAAAAACTTGAAATGGAATAAAAGAAATTAAAAGGAAAAAACTGCCCCCAAATGATTCGCATTTTTTTTTTTCATAAATAAGAGAAAGTTCTATCCTTACTGGTCCTAAATCTGAATAACTATGTCTAAATTTTTAAACCTTAATTACGTTATACCTATCAATATGTACTAGAAGAAAGAGAAGAAAAAAAGTCACTACACTAGTACCAGGACAGCACGCTTACACGTTAGCCATTTTATACATTATTAACAGACAGCGATCGACAGTCTTCTACGAGGTGATGGATGCAGAGGAAGGCAGGGTGTACAGTACATACCAACTGGGACAAAAGAGTAATGAAATTCCCTAGTCTAGACACTGGGTTTCTGGGAATTTATTGTGTCTCTTTTTTATCTTTGTTGTTGTTTTCTTAAATAAAATGTCTATCTTGTTACTTCATGACTTGAACAAGTTTAGATATTTTAAAGGTGCCCAGCTTTTTCCTTCACTGGGTTGTTTGGAAATAAAAGGAAAGGAAAACCAAACAAAACAACAAAACAAAAAAAATCTCACCAAACAACCTGACATTTTATTGGAAAAACAAAGAACATGATTCTTTTTAAATGTTGCTGTGTCATTAGAATCGAAAAAGGCTTTTTTCTGAGTTAGCAGGTTTGGAGCCTTTTGTCTGAAGGTGCATTCGCCCTACCGTGTCTGTGAACGTCTACATTGGTCTACTCCGTTAGTAAAATTTATAAAAATAGGAGTGCAGCAGCTCTTTATAACAAATGTCGCATTCAGTGTCTCATACTGGCTGTGCCTTCAGTACCAAATTTATAAACGTAACAATTTAAAAAATATTAATAAAACGGCGATATCACATTTTAAAAAAGAAAAAAATATATATCCACACTACACTATGTTCTAATGCCATCTATTGAGTTGTACTTCTATAGTTGCTGTTGCCGACCTATTACCAATATTAAAAAAAAGTTAAATTAAAAAATATCCTTCATCATAAGTATCTTTCCCCGACCGAGGACCATATATTATAACAGCCAAATGTTAACATGTGCAAACAGGAAACTGTCAGTTTTTCCCACCAGTCACAGTGCAGCGATGTTTATACTTTTTATTTTTTAAAATTCTGTTTACATCTACAATAAATTAAAAAAAAAATTCTTCCATAGCCTCTCTGGTGATACTTGCAGCACTGAGGTATTAAAAATAATATATAAACCAAAAGGTGGCTTCCCTAATTTGTAAATAGGAAGTGGATAGAGAAAAGGTGTCATTAATGCAGGCTCATCCGCTCGGGGCCCGCGGACCCCAGGGCCGGGCGGGGGAAGGACAGGGGAGGAGAGAGGCAAAGTGTCCTAGGGACCTTCTGAGGTGCTGAAATGATTGGACGATAGAAAATGATCAGATATTTAAAAATTAAGACTGAAAAAGGATGTCTCCCCACCCTTTCCCACCCAAGCCAAACAGGTGTGCTTTGAAACTTTAAATATGTTAAATATTAAAATTGTAGCTTTGTTTTTAAAAAACGTCTTGGGAAAAGCGGTTTTTCATATTTTAAATAAAAATCTAACTAGGCGGTAACATTTGAAGCTGTGCACAGACGAGAGGTTAATATGCTGGTACGACACTACTGGAGTCTCAGGTCTATCGCACACAGAGGAGCCAGGGTCCTAGTGTCCGGTCGGCCTGGCAGCAGGTGCTCTCGGCCTCGGCTACCCGCTGGCTGCGGGTTCCTCTCCCTCCTCCTTCCGCGGGGCATCGAGCTGCCTGGGACCGACTCCCTCACAAAAATATTTTTGATTCTCTCTTTCTTAATAGTTTCTATGTAGTTAATGGAATTGTATTTACAACATTTCTTTTTTTTCTTTTTCTTTTTTTTAGAATTCACAATTTCAAAAAAACCCTTAGAATATCACCTCTTTCAACAGAAAAACAAAAAACAAGAAACGCACTTATAGAAAAGGAGGACACTGGAATCATGGCCGTCCTTACCTTATTGCCGAAAATAGATATACTTAGGTTAACAAAGAGACATCACAGAGAACCGCCTGGTCTGTGACTGGCCTACGGCACCTCACTTCTCGCACAACGCAAAGGGGGAGCCGCCGCCCGCCGCCCCTCCACACTTCACGACTGCGCTTCCTGCGCTCAGGTCGCCCCTGAAAATCCATACAGTCTCAGAACTGGTACCAAAATATTGAGAGTAATATTACCATCTCAGCATCCTTTAAAAGTGAGAACAGAATCAAAACCAGCGAAAACATTTTTTTTTTAAAGAAAAAAATAATACCTTAATATAACAATTATACTATGGTTAGCTTTTAACTAGATATTAAAGCTATATGACTACTGGACTAAGTCAAAATCACTACTAAATGTGATTCAAAGAGATTGAAAAGGAGAAGGGTTGAGAGAGAAGGGGAAGGGAAACCGTCGAGGAAAACAAAACCAAAACAAAACCAAAATCATGGGTTATATATACACATTGAAAAGCTGTTGTCTTATATTACAGCAGACTCGTGAGATGATGAGATGCAGTCAACCCTCGATCGATCGGAAGTGAGCCATCTCTGGTGGGGATGGGGAGTGAGGCTGGTGGGGGTCCAGGTCTGATGACATCACCTAAACAAAGGGCCACTCAGAAACTTCGCCCAGTCTTGCCTGGACATCCAGGTATGCTCTGCAGGGTACAGAAGGTCGGGGTGCCCGGAAGAGAACATAAAAGTGGGGAGGGGCAGAGAGAAAGAAGTGTCAGGCACGTATACAATTTATTCCAACTTTTTAAGTAACGCTTTCAAAGTACGCCTACGTGGGGCTACTGGGCATGTCTGAAAACGCCTGGCTCACAGCTTGCTGGGGCGCGGCTTGGGAAATGCGACAGGGAAGCCGCCCGAGGCTGGGGAGAGGGCTGCAGGGCCCGACTGGTGAATTGCACATTGACCAGCAATGTTTTCTCTGATCAACCTCTGCTCTCCAGGCCACAGTGTTTAGACAACGTCTGCCTCGACTAGATATCCATCAGTGACTGTCCGTAACTGAACATGCAAATTTCCACTAAAAGGAATCATACTGACCACCAAGACATCCCGGTCAGGACACAGGAAAACACCTGCACCAAATAACCCGCTTGGTTATAGGCAGTGAAAGCAGGCCCTGGGATCGTGGACTTGTCTCCCTGAACTGGCTGAGCCCAGGCCCCTCGCGGGTGGGTGGCACTAGGCGTGTTTGGTGCAGCTGTGTGACGCGGCTGGTTCGCCCGACCCATTCTGGAGGGGGTGGTTTGTTACCTCTGCTCTCTTGGTTACTTCATCCTTCTGTGGAAACTGAGTCCCAGAGCTGGATGAAGGAGGATGGGCTGGAAGCAGCCTCGCCCCTCCCCCGCCCCTGGCCTTGGAGGGTGCAGGCGATGGCCCTCAACACCCTCGTTCCAGGGAGGGAGGGAGTGTTGGCGGCCCCGGCACCTGACCTCCCTGGGGTCTGCTACACCTGGTGGCTGTGATCCCCTCACCATGTGACTCCCCAAAGCTCCTGGAGCTCTCAGAAGAACCTTACTCCCGGGGCCCCAACCCCAGCTCAATTAGTAGTGAGTAGCTCTCCAAACGGTTAGTGGCCTCTGGCTCCAGCAGCATCGGCTGGGTCAGCGCTCCGAGGGCAGTGGAGGCATGGGGTGGGGAAAATCCACACACGGGTTTATTGGTTAAGAGAGGTAGTTGAGTTAGTTGAGGTGATTCCTTAGCAGCGACGTTAGAGAAATCCAAGAGAGATTTATGGAGCTCAACTCAACTTGGTCCCTGCTACGCAAGAGAGATTCCACAGACCACTGTGACAAACCACCTCCAGCCTGGTGTCCTCTATGTCCCCGCTCCCAGGGTGACAGGGCCCACGCCCCAGCTGGGGTCGTCTGAGTGGGACCCCTTCCCAGACTTTGCTTTCACCCCCCTCCCCCCGTCTTCCAGAGAGACAGAGCCACGTGCAGGATGCACGGGACTGTCCGAGAGGACCCCTCTGGCGCCTGGTGCTTTGCCCGGGAATGACGGGCTCTCCGCGTGAGAACGTGACCAGAGGCTCTCTCACTGAGGGCCCAGCCTCCCTCGCCTCCACTCCACCCCTCCACAGCCCCGTCAGAGTGATTTAAAAAATGTTTAATTAACTTGAGCTCAGTTTAAAAGGTTAGGAAACTGGCAGGGATCCAAACCCACATTACGCAGGTGATATCGTTAATTTAATTTGCTTTTCCAGCGGTAATCTGGATAATTACTCAGTAGTTACTGGCAAAAATGTTTTCTTTTCACCAAAAGATGCAGTGTGGCTGGTTGACGGCAGGAACCCAGCGACCGAGGCCAGGGAGCTCTGGGAGCTGAGACCCAGCAACGCCGAGGTCAGCTAGGACGCGGCGCGGGGATGGCAGAAGCCGCGTTTCCCGCCTCCACCCCCCGGGCGGGCACAGCCCGATCGCCTTCCAGTTTCCCACACTCTTGATTGTATTTCAAGACAAAGAAAGATGACAGGTGGGGAAGATAAAGAAAAGGAATCAAAAGAACCAAAATTGAGAAAAAAAGACAGTGAAAACGAAGGTGGGGGTCATGATTAAAGCTAGAGAAAGGAATGAGATTAAAAGACCGACTGTTTCCGCCCCCACCCCCCTAAGAAGGGGTCCAGGAAGAGGAGAGAGAGAGACTGACGTGGTGAGACCAGGGCCCGTGCCTACTGCACGCCCGGTGCACATACATGTACGGACGCGCCCGGCAGGGCGGAGACACACGGCAGAGAAGGTAATACCTCAGAGTGAGTGGCAACAGAAGCACCTGCTCAATGGTATCCATTTGTAAAGGCCGTTGCAATCAAAGGTCCCTAAAATTGCACAATTGTTAAGGTCATCAGCACGCTATACATGGGAACAGATTGTCATATTCTGGGAAAGGAAATTATGCCTAGGGCTAGACCGTGGTTGCCAGCATGAATATGTAATTCTGAGACACCGTGCCGTGAGGGGCCAGGACGACACCCTCCCCAGCTCCAAGCCCTCCAGCCTCCGCTCCCCACCCTAAGCCTGTCTCCGTGCCCAGGGGAAATCAAGAGCCAGATTCAGAGGGGTGGGTGGTGATGGGAAAGGGAGGCTCATGCCCCAAACGAGGGGCGCTGTTGCCCTGTACCCCTGGAGGGCAAAGATAACAATGTCTCTGTCCACAGTCCCAGTGCTCCAGCGGGGGAGAAAGCAAGTTCTCTGCAGACGAAACGTGATGCTCTGTGGTTGTTTCTGAAAACCAGCACAGCACGTGGGTCAGAAGACCCAGGTTTTCAAGAACAAACAGGGCTTGTGTTTCTGGGCGCTGAAAATGGAAATGAGTTGTGTTCTATGTGGTGATAGACGGTCTCCCAAATTGATGCAGCTCGCAGCTGAATAATAACACTCTGGGTTTGGTACTACCGCTGATCCAAGGGGATTCGACTCACCAACCTACTGACTTAAGTGGTATTGGCTTGGGAGTGGAATTGAACAAGGACCCAGATTGCAGAGGCCAGAGCTGGAGGGAGTGAAATGTGTGTGTGTGTGTGTGTGTGTGGTAGGTGGGGGTGTGGTGGTTGTATATGTGTGCTGTGTGGTGTGTGAATACCGTGTGGTGTGTGTGCTATGTGCTGTGTGTGTGCTATATACTGTGTGGGATGTGGGGTGTGAGGTGTGTGACATGTATGTGCTGTGTGCTGTGTGACGTGTGTGTGGTGTGTGGTATGTGTTTGTGGTGTGTATGTGCTGTGGGGTGTGTGAGGTGTATGTGTGGTGTGTGAGGTGTGTGTGTGGGGGGTGTGAGGTGTGTGTGGGTGTGTGTGTGGGGTGTGAGGTGTGTGTGGGGTGTGGTGTGTATGTACTGTGGGTGTGTGAGGTGTATGTGTGGTATGTGGGGTGTGTGAGGTGTATGTGTGGTATGTGGGGTGTGTGAGGTGTATGTGTGGTATGTGGGATGTGTGTGCTGTGGGGTGTATGAGGTGTATGTGGTGTGTGAGGTGTGTGTGCTATGTTGTGTGTAGGGTGTGAGGTGTGTGTGTGGGGTGTGAGGTGTGTGGGTTGTGTGTGCTGTGTGAGGTATGAGGTGTGAGGTATGTGTGTGCTGTGTGGGGTGTGAGGTGTGTGGGGTGTGTGTGCTGTGTGAGGTGTGTGCTGTGTGAGGTATGAGGTGTGTGGGGTGTGTGTGCTGTGTGTGGGGGGTGTGCTGTGTGTGCTGTGTGGGGTGTGTGGGGTGTGGTGTGAGGGGTGTGTGTGGGGTGTGAGGTGTGTGTGTGGGGTGTGAGGTGTGTGTGTGCTGTGTAGGGTATGTGCTGTGTGTTGTGTGGGGTGTGTGTGCCATGTGGCGTGTGTAAGGTGTGTGGGGTGTGTGTACTATGTGGTGTGTGCGCGCCGTGTGGTGTGTGTGGGGTGTGTGTGCCGTGTGGCATGTGTGGGGTGTGTGTGCCATGTGGTGTGTGTGCTGTGTGGGGTGTGTGAGGTGTGTGGGGTATGTGAGGTGTGTGAGGTGTGTGGGGTGTGTGTGCCGTGTGGCGTGTGGGTGTGTGTGTGTGTGCCATGTGGTGTGTGTGCTATATAGTGTGTGTGGGGTGTGTGTGCTGTGTGGAGTGTGTGAGGTTGTGTGGGGTGTGTGCCATGTGGTGTGTGTGCACCGTGTGGTGTGTGTGGGGTGTGTGTGCCGTGTGGCGTGTGTGGAGTGTGTGTGCCATATGGTGTGTGTGCCGTGTGGTGTGTGTGGGGTGTGTGAGGTGTGTGGGTGTGTGTGTGCTGTGTGTGTGCTGTGTGGTGTAAGGGGTGTGTGTGTGTTTTCCCATCCAGGGGGCAGGGATCCTGGGGCTCTGGTGCCCCCGACTGCACTGTCTCCCCAGCACAGCCCCTGAGTCAGGGCTCTGGTGACAAGGACAGGACCTGGGACAGCAGACACTCCCATCTCAGCTCAGGGTCAAACGGGGCCTCCAGACCGCTGAGGCTGGCTAGGGCAGGGGGTGGCCGGTTTTGTTTCCCAAATGGCAGGGATGCGAGTGAGCGGGCTCAGGCACATTCATGCTCACACACACCGGGAGGGAAAGAACAATACAATCTGAAAACAGCATGCAAATCTGTTAAGCAAATTTCTATGGCCTGGATTAGTCAGATTATAGAGCCACAGAGCATTACAAACATCGAATGCATCTGGCCTTGGGCAGAGGGCACAGCTAAAGAACGCAAGTGGGAACTTACTTGGAACCTGGAACCTGGAAGAAACATTAGCGAAGGACACCTCCTGGGGAGGAGGCTTGCACCCCACACCACGTCCCAGGCACGAGCACCTGCCCCTGGACCTTAGGCTGGGGGGCTCTGCCCATTAAGGTTGCTACCCTGAGGTGGGGGGCTCTGCAGCTCTAAGGTCCCGGCCCACAGGAGTCTCCAGAAGGCAGAGATCAAGGATCAGGGTCTGATACTGAGGACCTACTATGTGCCACCAGGCAACGTATCCTATTTCTGTTCATCCTCACAGTCTTTTGAGAGAGGCATACTTATTTTTGTTTTGCAGCCAGGGAAGTGGTGGGTTATATAAGTGGCTGAAGGTTGCATGGGTGAAGGTGCCCTGCCCACTCTCCTTCCACTCCATCGTGTGGCCTGGCCCCCAGGTGCTTAGGTAACTTCTGAATGGAGCAGCTTTAGCCCTGGGTGGCTAAAGTGACATGGAAGGGGACCCACCACCCTCTCCTTGGCTCCCAACTCTGGGCTTTCCCGGCACGCCCTCCCCATGGGTCACAGAAGATGGGCAAGGAGGAGGCAGGAGGGCAGGGGAAGGCAGGTACTTACAGCTATGCCGTGGCCGAAGCCGGAGCCCGGCTGTGGGCTGGCCGCGCTTATGTAATTCCCCACTCCGGAGTCCTGGCTGGCAGGGCCGTAGAGATCGGCGACAGGTCCTGGGCTGTTGGCCCCGGGGAAGCCTCCAGGCCGCGCCGGGTTGGAGCCTGCCGGGGAAGCGGGCGCGCCAAAATTCGGTTGAGCACTGTAGCTATTCAGGACTGGTGTGCAGAGAATAGAGCTGGGTATGAGGCCAGAAGCCAGGCATGCACCGGTCATTACAAGCCAAACACTCGAGAAAAACAGCTGAGGCCCAACTTCTAACACTCAACCAAGGCCATGCGAAAACATCAGCAGGGACTCAAGAATACTCAGCCCAGGCTACTACTAAGAAGCTCGGAGCTCCAAAAATATAGAGAATAAAAAAACAATCATTCAACACACTACGGCAATCAACCGGAGGGTGCTTCACTGCCCACCGAGCTATCACGATAGAAATAGAGATATATATGGAAGAGAGAGAGATCTGTTCACATCTGATCTGATGCTCATGCAGTCGGGTCTAGGTCTGGGCACGTGGAGACAGCATTCACATCCCATGCAAACTACAAAGGAACTAGTTTTAGACTACACATTGTGTTAATATTGATATTAAAACGTGACAGGAGACAAAGCAATTTGTGTCTAGGAAAAAAAATCTCTGGGAAGGGGATTTTTGATTTTTTGGTTTTTTTCACATTTTCTTTTTTGTTTGTTTTTGGATCCATTAAATGACAATTTTTTTTTTTTTTTTTTTAAAAGACAAAAAAGATCTCCATTCTCCAGCCCCCCCAAACAACTTCCCCCCTCCCCACTGGCTAATCCCTCCCTTCCCACCCCTCCCATTTACATCCCTGCATGAAAGCTGTCCGTACTGAACGTGGTCGGAGGATGGGATATGTCATGGAAAATTTGGGCATCTTAACAGAACTGTAATGATGGTGGCAGAGGGTTCCCTTTTGGGGTGGAGCAGGGGATGGAGGGAGGGAATGGGGTGGGGATGGCAAATCTGGAGGCTGGGGCCAAAGCTGGGTGAACGCCAATGATGTTCGACACCCACACACTCACCTCCTGCAGTAGAAGGAAAGGGGGGATTTAAACTTTTTTTCCTTTTGTTTAAAAAAAAAAAGACAAAGAAATATGAACGCAGAGCATACTGACCGAACCAATTCATCGCTAAAGCATATCTGACCGAAATGCCTGCTTCCTGTTAGTTATCTTCAGACATCAACTCCAGACTGAGAAAAAGAACCAGGAATGTACTTGTACTGCAGCCAGGGGGGCTTCATGCCCGCGGATCCTCAGAGTGGTGGGGGGAGGGCAGCAGGCGGCCTGGGTCCCCACCCTTAACCTTCCCAAACTCCATCATTCCCTCCCCAGTGACGGCCCCAGCTGTCAGCCAGGTTAGTTTCATCTCCTCTCCTTTTCCCCTTAGTAACTTAAATGTTTTCTTTTCCAGAATAGGAAAAACATTTTTTTAATTGCAAAAGTGAGTTCTCATTGATTTCCAAAGCTCAAGGTGAGTCTGGGGCTGGTGACTTCGGAGCTACAGCTGAACTGTCTTGGAAGAACCAGACCATCTGGGCTCCCCGAATTTCCATGGCTCCCAGGGGCAGCCCCTCACAACCGGCTTCTCCTTTCTGCCCCTCAGCACTCCGCTCTCCCCGTGGCCCGCTGCCCTCGACGGCAGAAGAAAGAACATGTGCACTCCCTGTCTAGGCCCTGGCCTTGCCCTGGAGGCCGGTGGTCGCAGCCCCCACTTCTGGTGGGGCTGGAAGAGCCAGAAGTAGGTTGATTTTACCCACTTGCCACCGGGATGGGAAGAGTCCGACTGCAAGCATCCAAGCCAGACTGGGAGGAGACAGATGGGGACAAGAAGAGACAGAAGAGACCAAACAAGTGGGGCTTGGCTCTGGACTCTGGAGAAAGGGGAGCTGCTGCCTGGGCGGCCCTCTGGGGCAGGACGCCCCAACGTGAGGTCCCTCGGAAGCCGAAGCTGAGAAACGAATGAGCTGGCTGATGAAAAGAACAGGTTAAAGAGAAAAAAATCACAGAGGCTGAGAGCAAATAAGTGGCTGATTTGGGAGTGCTCCGGCAGACAAAAGGGACGGGATTTCTGAATATAGAAGATTAAGCTTGCAGATAACATTTGGCCTTTCTCACTCAGGGAGGCAAATATCAAGCCGAGATGTTCAAAAGGCAGAATTATCTTGGTCTAACACACTTTTTTCCCCTCTGGGCTAGGAAACACGGGGAGAGCTCAGACAGCAGACTCCTGGTCCACCCAGGCAGCTGACCCCCGTCCTCTGCGAAGTAACTATAAAGTAACCAGCCTGTTCTGTTGCGGGGGGTGGGGGACACAGTGGAAGACAGAGAGGTTTTCTGGGCTTCTTTCTCCTCTGGCCAGATGAGGACCTGGGAAGAGCGGGCCCGCTGGGCTGGGGAAGGGGAGCGTTCGGTCCGGCTCCCTCCGGCAGGGGAAGAGCTACAGAGACTGACCAGCCAGCAGACGCAGCGGGGACAGGATGCAGCATGCCGGCGGAAGGAAGCCGTCCAGAAACGCCCCCTCCGCAGGCTTAGAAGATGAGAGGGCTGGTGGTTTTCTCTCCGTCCCTGGCTGCCTCTCCCAGGCCTCTGCCCAGGCGCAAGAGTTGGTCTGAAGGAAATTTCACAATAAACAGTTCTTCTTAGGCCCACATTGCACCTCCCAGCTCGTCTGCCATCAAGTGACACTAAAACCACCGTGGAAGAGGCACTCTTAGAATGCAGCTTTATACCACGTCGCCTATTACCAGGTACACCTGCTCCTCACACTGCTCCAGGCCCAGCTCAAGGTCACCTTGCAGGCATCCCTGCCCCAGCCAGGGGTGAGAGACTGCGCTGCGGGTCCCCGCCAGAGGGCGCAGTCCGTCACAGGCCAGAAGCCTTCAGTTCTGGGCTGGTCCCTTTTCTCCAGGCTTCTGGGCAGTGGCACCTGACCCATCCCCGGTCAGGGCATGGAGGACACCTGGCCGTCAGTCAACACTTCCCTCTCCTCCCTCTTTGGGCAGAAGACCCCGGCTCCTGCGCGTTCCAGTCCCCAAACAAGCCACCTGGAAGCCCAGGCCTCTCGGGAAAGGCTCCCAACACGGCTTGGCTGCTGGGGAGGTGGCCGGGACGCCACTTTGCACGCAAATGTCTCTGCAGCTGTTCCTTCTGTGAGGGCCTCCCCACAGAAGGAACAGCTGGTGGGGAGGCCTTAGGGGCAAAGTGGTTTTCTTCCCTGGGGGAGTTCATACTGACCACTGGCTGGCTCCGCAGGAAAGGGAGTCACTTGAGAACCCCTCTGCCCCCAAGCTATGCCCCGCAGAGGAGGGGGGGGGGAAGCATGATGCTGAGTTCCTGGCCTGAGGGTGCGTTCTGGGCAAGCCGTCCTCCCTTTCCTGTCTGGACGGAGGGCACCTTTCCCCAGGCACCCAGACGCACTTTGAGGGGCCAGAAACGGTTTCACACACCAGCACTGAGTCGGGGACAGGGGCGGGGTACCATTCTTAAAGGGCAAGGGCACCTTGCTGCTGCTTGGGTAGAGTGTGCGGTGTGTGAGCGTGGAGTGGGGGTCTCGGTACATGGTGCTGAATAAATACAGCCTGAGATTCAGAAATGGAACATGACGACTCCTGCCTCAGAAGAGGACAATGTCTTGCAAACACTTTGGCATTTTTGTAGAAGCTGAGTGTTAAGTGGCCTGGGCCCAACCCTGCACCAGGCTGGCAGTGTGGGGGCTCACTGTGGGGAGAAGGGTTGCTTCTCCATCAGCTGCTCTGGGCAGCACCCACAGTAGCGGCTGAATACCCCTCACCAATATCTGCGCTTTGTCTGGCTAGCATGCCCAGGGAGGCGGCTATGACGCGGAGAGGGGGGCACAGCGCTCGTAGTCAGAGGCCGAGTGTGACCGCCCGACCTTGGTGTGGGCCCTCCACTGCCAGCGTCCTCATCGAGTGCTGCTGCCTTCCCCAGCCTGTCTCTCGGTGGGGAAAGGAGAAAGCGCTCTGTAACTTGTCAAGTCTCAAACAAATCTCCTCGTTTTGAAAAAGCTGCGTATGCAGGTATCATTTGCAGATTTAGGAAAATCTGATATAGGAAAATACAATTCACTTGCCATACAAATCAGAATGTGATTTACAAAAGGATCCAATTCATCCACCTGGTGCATTTAATCACCTCGGATCTGAAGAAAGGACTTGGGTGGGGGCAGGAAACCAAGGACACTACCTCTGAGGCCAGCAGGAGGAAATACATTTGGATTGAAGTGGGAGGCATTTTGCATTGAATGAAGAAGCTGCTTGCCCATCAGGAAAGCAGAAAACCCTGACCCAGGAAAGCCAGGGAATCCATCCCCGGAACCCTGACGAAGTCTGCCCCGCAGGCTTACCCCTCACCTCGACCTCACTTAACCCACAACTCGGGGCACCTTAGTCCCTGGGGTTTTACGGCAAGCTGTGGGGGGGTGCCTCCCCGCTGGGATCAGGAGGGGCTGGGCTGAGTGGGGCTAATCATGGGGAAGAGAGGTGGCGGGAGAGGGTGGGAGAGTCCGGACAGCCTCGCTGTTGGTCTAGGAAACGTATGGGGGTCCAGCTACTCCTCTGTGACCCCTAAGTGAGGCCACTGGACCTGAGGCAGAAAGCTAGCGCCCGAGGTGAGAGGGGGCACCCCTGGGAGGCACCTCTGGCTCTAAGGTCCGAAAGGCGGATGGTTAGTGACCTAGAGAAAGGAACAGTTTACAAAGTCCTTCCCAGATGAGCTCAGCCCACATCTGGGACAAGCCAGGGCCCTGCCAAGTCCTAGCCCTCGACCCAGGTCCTGGTTTGGTGGGTCTCGCATTTCCCCAAAGGGCAGGGCCAGCCCCGAAGACAGTTTCACTTATCTGCTCTGTGAATTACCTGCTGCTGTGGTCCCTGGCACACGTCTGGGACAGAGCGTGCGTGGCTCAGGGCAGGACAAGTGCGCCGGCGGGCCCGTCCTCACCCGGTCCAGCTCAGAAGGTGACGAGCTGCACACAGGGCCAGGCGGGAGGGCGTGTGGGCTGTGATTCATCACAATGGATTTTAGGGGTTTTTAAAGAGAATTACACAACAACAACGGGGCAAGA